CCCCATCTGCTCATACCTCTCCTATGTCCCCCAACAAGCAGTGTCTCCAATACACATGCATGTGTTGTATCAAAGTCATACTGGTTATATAGTTAAATTGGACCACTTCTCTGCAGTGACTTCACAGTGAATGAGTCCAGAGTTGATAATTCAGGCAGGTTTCCCTGTCCCAGAAATGCACCTGGAAAAACCTGGTTGTGTGGTACATCTTCTTTCTCTTTAGGTACAGCCGTGCCCGCTCAACTGCCAGCTGAGCCATTCGCACAAGCACGGGTACAAGGAACCCCCACGTCACAGTGTACGGAGCATGTAGGCATACATCCAGAGTTGGGGTCCAGAATCAGGACATCCATACAACAGAAGCAGGGTGTGCTGCAGCTGGTCCATGAACTCACCCTGGAGCTTTCTGGGTCCCAGCACTGGCCTCCCAGGCCTGCTGGGGACACACAGGAACACCCAGAGCCCTCCAGGAGGTGAACCATGCATCTATCCACCCTCAGGGAAGACCAGCTGTCCTTTCACTCCACACCAGGCAGAATAAACAGGGCATCAAGGGTTATTAGAAGAAGCTGAACCTGGTAGTGAAGGCCTGTAATCCCAGCTACTCCCGAAGCTGAGGTGGGAGGATTGCAAGTTCAAGTTCAAGGCCAGCCTGGACTATAATGTGCTACCCTGCCTCAAAAAGTAAAGGAAAAAGAAAAGAAAAAAAAAAGGCTAGGGGTACAGCCCAGGAGTAGAGCACTTGCCTAGCATGTGAGAGGCCCTGGGTTCAATCCCAGTATTAACGAAAGAATCATCAGGTCATCAGGAGCAGAGACAAAAACCTAAGACTGAGCCAGACTGTCTTCTGGCTGAGTTCCCTCAGCAGAAAGAGCCCTGGTGGCCTGGGGAAAGCCAGATGTTCAAGCAGCTTATCACCTGCAGATCTCTACATTGTTATTTGAAAACTAAATGGCCTCAAAATAGAAATAAAGTCGACATTTTTAAATTTTTATTTTATGTGTATGAGTGTTTTGCCCATGTGTACGTATATGTACCATGTGCCTGCAGTGCCCACAGAGGCAGAAGAGGATGTCAGATCCCCTAGAACTGGAGTTACAGACAGTCGTGAACCTCCGTATGGGTGCTAGGAACTGAGCCCTGGTCCCCTGCAAGAGCAGCAGGTGCTTTTAACTGCTGAGCCATCTCTCCAGCCCCATTTTTTCCCTCATCTATTTGTAAAGAGGCTAGGAAGGATGGACTAAGGAAAGATGGACTAATCCAAGCACTTTTGCTTCAGATGTTAAGAACAAAATGGGATCTAAACTTGAGCTATGATGTTTCTTTAGCCTGCTTCTTTTAAAAGTATAATCCTGTTAAAGGACTTCCTCTGGGAAGAAATGTATCCAAACTGAGAATGTAGTTCTGATTTTTAAATCCTTCCACTTTTTTTGGTTCTCAGAATGTTTGGACAGAGAAGGCCTGGGAAATTATTTCATTCAAAGCCTCACCCCTCTCCCAAAGAAGATGGATTCAAAGATCTTATAAGTGAGGTGATCCAAAGTCTTGGCCAACAAGATCTTCACCCTAATTCTGGAATCCCAGTTTACTGTACTTCTCTCCAGAATCATCTTTCAGACACCATTCAACAACCCGTCATTCTTTGTGGACCTTACTTTAAGTTTGTCCTAGGGCTGGAGAGATGATGACTCAATAGTTAAGAGTACAGGATGTTCTTGCAGGAGACTGGGTTCTTTTTCCAGCCCCCCCATGATGGCTAATAATCATCTGTAACTCCAGTTCCAGTGGATCTGATGCCCTCTTCTGGCCTCCTTGGGCATTGCATGCATGTGGTATACTTAACATGCAGACAAAAACACTAATACACATGAAATAAAAATAAATAATTTTAGAAAGGTTTGTTCCAACAAACTGCATTTAAGTAACAATTTATTTGTCAATCAAAGATTCTGGTTAGTGTAAAAGGTCCCAGTTGGGGCACTGAAGAGGGATAGTCCCAGCCTGAGGTAGGGTAGAAAGACGTGAAATGGAAAGGGACCCTTCCTGCGGTCTGACCGAAGCCTCTCACCAGTAGCGAAGCCAGAACTCCAGAACAATTAACAGCAACTTAAGGGTGTTCTCCTTTCCCAATGTAAACCTGCAATTTTCTAGAAATCTTCCCAGAAACCCTATGTATAGGGAAAAGGCATGTATTTAAACCCTTTGTGCAACCCTGGTGACTTCTGGCCTTACCTTACCAGATTAAAATTTAATCTCACTTATCAGAAGAGAGAAAAAAGGGGTAGGAGGTTTCTTAGCGGCCTTCTGAGATGAAACTTGAGAGCCACCAAAACGGTATACACAGGTAAGGCTATAACAATTACTTACAAGTCTCCCTTGAGGAGTGGTGCCCACACTTGGGTATGCTTTATTTCCTTTCCCAGTGCCTCTCTTTCTCCTAATCCTTAAGCTTAAACTCTGTATTAAAATATCTCTAATTGGGACTGGAAAGGTGGTTCAGTGATTAAGAGCACTGGCTGCTCTTGCAAAGGACCTGGGTTCTAGTCTCAGCATCCATGTGGCGGTTAACAGCCATCCATAACTCCAGTTCCAGGGGATTTGACACCCTCTTCTGACCTCCCTGTGCATTGCTTGACAAGGGTTGCACTTATATACATGCAGGCAATACACTCATACGTGTAAAATAAAAAATAAAATATTAAAAATAAAAAATACCTATAATAAAACCCCAACTCTGCTTCATCCTGGTCCTGAGATTATTCTCTGCATTGAAGCCAGAATTCCCACTTTGACCTAAATCGGGGACCCTAAAATGTTAAGAGACCTCTTCGGGCTGCTGAGGGTAACAATGTGGGGCTGTGCGTGTCCCTTCACTGCTGACAAGCCCACAGCACAGAAATACCATACCACTTCAAATAAACTTTAAAAATTTTAAATTATTTATTATTACTGGTACACATGATGTATGTAGGGATGTGTGGGAGTCATGGGGCACATGTGGAGGTCAGAGGATAACCTTGTGGAGTTGGCTCTCTCCTTCCACCATTGTGTGGTGTATGAGTTACTTTTCTCTTGCTAGAACCAAAGGCAACTTAAGGCAGGAAGAGTTTACTTGGGCTTATGGTTCCAGAGGAGGAGTAGATAATTTATCGGTAGCAAGCAGTCAGGAAGCCGAGAGACCACATCTCCATCCACACAGAGGAAGCAGACAGTGTGGATTGGAAGTGCAGTAAAGCTATAAACACTCAAAGCCCACCCCCAGTGATTTACTTCCTCCAGCAAGTTCACTCTTCCCCATAACTTCCCCCAAACAACGCCATCAACTGGGGTCCAAGTGTCCAAGTATATGATGGCCTATGAGGGACAGTTCTCATTTAAACCGTTACAGTGGGTTCTGGGGCTGAAACTCAGGTCATCAGGCTTGTGTAGGAAGTGTCTTTACACTGAACCATCTCACCAACCCCCAACTTCTTATAAACTGTGAGCACAACTGATACCATTTCCTTTACTAGGGAGACTGAGGCAAGAGATCATTTGAGCCCAGAAGTTCAAGGCCAGCTCAGGGAACATAGGAAGACCCTGTCTCAAAACAAACAGGGATGGCTCAGAGATTAAGAGAGTGTACTGCTGGGGCTGGAGAGATGGCTCAGCATTTAAGAGCACTGACTGCTCTTGCAGAGGACCCAGGTTTGACTCCTAGCACCCACATGGCAGCAAACAACCATCCTAAGTCCAGTTCCAGGGACTCCAACACCCTCTTCTGACCTCCATGGGCACTGCACGACACTGGTGCACTTACACACATGCAGACAATACACTCATACACATAAAATAAAATAATAAAATTTTTTTTTTAAAAAAAAGAGTGTGTACTGCTCTTCCAGAGGGCCTGGCTTCAGTTCCCAGCACAGGTGTCTAGTGGCTGACAACTACCTATAACTCCAGTTCCAGGCAATCCTCTTCTGGACCCTGTGGACACTGCATGCACATGATGCACATACATATACACAGGAACACACATACATATTAAATAAACAAATCTTTAAGAAAAGATTGAGTAAAAGAAGAGATAACCAAGATTTAAAAACAAACAAGCAAGTCAGGCCTGGAAACACCTTTAATCCCAGCACTTGGGAGGCAGAGGCAGGTAGATCTCTGCGTTGGAGGCCAGCCTGATCTACATAGTGAATTCCGGGCCAGCTAGAGCTACATAGTGAGACCCTGTCTCAAAACAATCAAACAACAAAAACAAACAAGGCATTCCAAGCAGGTTGAGATTCATCTTGGCTTTTCTGATTGCATCACATGACATCACATGTATGCTCTAGAATTCAGCTTTCTGTCCCTGTCGGGCAGCTTCACTTTTTCACGGGGTCAGGGTGATGAACTCTGTGGACATGATGCATTGTATTTCTGAACAAGTTCCTAGATGAATATGAACGACTTTTATGACTTGGTAAATGCTTTCTGATCTCCGTCCAGAAGCTTCTCCCCATAGCAGTTGCACAAACATCATTTGTTTTGAGACAGAATTCCACGTAGCTGACCTCAAACTCACTGTGTAGCCAAGTACAACTTTACGGATGCCCCTGCCTTGTATCCTGAGAGCTGGGATTGCACATACGCCACCACGCTGGAGTATAAGTATGCAGCGCTGTGGATCGAATCCACAACTTAGTACCTGCTATACGTGCATTCTAGCAACTGAGCTACATCCCCAGCTCTGAATATTGCCTTTTCCTGACCTGTCACCACGCCTTCGCCGGCGCCGTGTCCTTCACCATCAATACCATTGCTGCCAGTTTTGGATACTTTGTGTGCCCGTGGGCTGTTGCTAGTGCTGCTAATCATGCTTGCGTTGAGCTCTGGTGTCTTCTTCGCCCTTTTGTCCAACAGGTGGGACACGAGTGTGGGGCCGGGACGCAGCGGCCGCAGTCCCAGGACCCACGGCCAGAGGGCGCTGCGCCGCGCTCCCGGGTCCCCCGCTTGGACCTGGCTGGGGCGGGTGGCTGCAGAGAGAGGCCGGGCGGGGAGCAAAGGTTGGCGGTCTTCGTCGCCGACCTTCTACCGAGCTCCACGGCGTCATGACGGTGGGATCCCGGCTCCGCAGCAAGGTAGCCTGCAGCCTGGCGCGCCGAGGGCCGCTGGGGCGATTGCGCGCGGCGGGCGACGAGGAGACGGATGCCATCGTGGAGCGCCTGGAGGGCGAGGTCGAGGACGAGGACCCAGCGAGCGAGGTCGGGGCGCGCGATGCGGGAGGCCGGCGCGCGGGGACCCCGGGGGCGCGCAGGGTGCACCTGGCCGTCTTGCCCGAGCGCTACGAGCCGCTGGAGGAGCCCGCGCCTGGCGACAAGCCCAAGAAGAGGTACCGGAGGAAGCTGAAGAAGTATGGCAAGGTAGGCGCCCCGCGCAGCCCGGGGGTCCCCAGGGCGCTGTTCCCGCCGGAGGACCCGGCCTCCCCGGGGCTGTGGGGACCCCCGCTGCAGAGCCCCCGACTGGCCGAGTGTCCTGATACAAACCGAATCCCCGGTTCCCGGGTTACTCTGGGTGGCGTTGTGCCCGCGACCCTGCTGCTGGCGGGCAACTCGCCTCCTGGACGCATGGCTCTGAGCGCGCTAGCTTAGGATAGGACCTGTGCGCCTGGATGGCACAGATGCACGGGTGACGCGGTTAGGTGACTTAAACAAGGTGACCCGAAGTGAGAAGTTGCAGCCCAAGTGTACCTGTTTTCCATCCTCTGCCCACCACCCCACTAGTTAAGAGCTGCGAGGTGTCTTCGGCAAGCGACGACGTGATCTGCCGGGCTCGGGAGCTCAGCAAATGCATTCCCATGCACCATGGAACCTCCCTTTCTCCAGCTATCTCTGTGCTTTGGGCCTTCAGACATTCTGTATGCCTTTGCTTTGATAGGAAGAGGGAGATGGATGGGTTCAGAATGGAATGAATATCCTTTTTTCGGATTAAGAGCAACTAGGTACAGTTGCAGTTCCCAGGTGCCCTGCCTAGAAAAAAGTAGAATTGCTCCCTTGTTTTTTTTAAAAAAGTCACAAAACTCATCGATTGTATCCTGACCAAGGTCCACTGGCTCTGCCTGGTTTATTGTCCAGTTATCTGTAGCCTTCAGTGGGTGGCCTTTTCAGTCTCTGACCAGGAGTTTAGGTTTATCATTCTCTTGAAGGAGAGGACAGTGGCTTACTCACATGCAGGCAGTAATAAGATACACTGAAATCGAGTTAGGACTTTCAAGATTAAGGTCATGGTAGGATTGATGTGTTCTTTTTTCCACCCCAGTTGATCACAAAGAAGCCATCGTTTGCCTCTCTGAAAGTGAGGTGATGGCATGGATGCCTTAGCCTGGAAGCTGACATTTGGAGAGGCTTTGAGAGATGCCCACTCTGTGTCAAGCACTGTACAAAAATGAATGCCTCACTGCCCGGAGAGTCCACAGCCTTCCGCAGAGAGATGCAGAGTCAAGGCACTTCCCTATCCCCATAAGGTTGTAAAATCAGGGAAGTCTTCAATCATGGTGACATGAACACTGAACACAAAAGGGGAGAGCTAAGGCTTCACCCAATAGAGCTGAGGCCCAGGACCCTGCAGCTGTAATCGCAGGTACTCTGGAGTTTGGGTAGAATGCTGGAAAGTTCAAGGCCAGCCTGGGCTGACAAGACCTAAAACCAACCAAACAAAAAGGTGTTTACCAGCTAACAGTGAGGGCCATACCACTCCATGGGATGGCTACTCTAAACATCAAAGTCCAAACATAAAGCAACAGATGTTGGTGAGAATGTAGAGAAATTTGGAGCCTTGAACACAGGTATTGGGAATGTAAAATTGTGTAGCTGCTGTGTAAAGTAATTTGGAGGCGCCTTAAAAAGTAGAACATGGAGTTACTCTATGATGTCACAGTTCTAGAGAGATAACAGAAAACAGAGCTGGATATGCTGCTCAGTTGGTAGAGTGCTTGCCTAGCATGCATAAAAAGCCCTGTGTTAGATCCATAGTGCTATACAAACCAATGCTACATGGTAGTACAGGCCTGTAATCCCAGTACTCAGGAGGTAAAGCCCAGAGGATCTGAAGTTCAAGGTTAGGTCAGGGAGATGGTTCAGTAGATAAGGGCTGACTACCTAAACTTGATACTTAGGACCCACAAGATAGAAGGAAGGAACTTATTCCTGCAAGTGTCCTCTGACCTCCACATGCATGCTGTGTAATGCACTCACTCACACACATATGTAACACATACATACACACACACACACACACATACAATAAATAAAATAAAAAGATTTTTTTTTAAAAGATCATCCTTAGGTACTTAAAGAATTTGAGGCCAGCCTGGGCTATATGGCTACAGTTTCAAAAAAATTGACTCAAACATGTATACATACATGTTTATAGAAGTATCACTTACCAAGAGCCAAAGATGAAAACAAACCAAGTGTCCATGAGTGGATGAATGACTAAGCAACCTGTGGTGAGGCAACGTGGAATATTATTCAACCATAAGAAGGAAGAAGTGGCTGGGCATGGTGGCGCATGACTTTAATCCCAGCACCCAGGAGGCAGAGGTAGGTGGATCTCTGTGAGTTTGAGGCCAGCCTGGTCTACATAGTGAGTTCCAGGCTAGCTAGGGCTACAGGGAGACCCTGTTTCAAAAAGACAAAAAAAACAAAAAAAACAAACAAGAAGAAGAAGAAAGAAGTGCTAATTTTACTGCCATTGTAGCTAAACTTCTAAAAACATGGAGCTTGGTGAAAAAAGTCAGACCCACAGGCGACACACCGTGTTCACAATTCTCTTTCTATGAAATGCCCACAATAGACGAGTCCAGACAGTCAGAACATAGAAGAAGGGTGGTGCTCAGAGGCCAGTGGGAGGAGGACTGGAGGTCACCTGCTTACCTACTGGGCTGTTTGGTTTCCTTCTGGGGTTGGGAAGTGTTTTGGAAGTAGACAGCTCTGGCTGTTGCACATCCTAAATGCATTCAATGCCCCTGAATTTTCCGCTTTAAAGTGGTTCCTTTTAGCGAGGACTGCTCACGCCTTTAATACCAGCACTCAAGAGGCAGAGGCAGGCAGATCTCTCTGAGCTTGCGGAGATGGAGGCCAGCCTGGTCTATATAGAGAGCTCCAGGCCAGCTAGGGCTATAGGGAGACCCTGTCTCAAAAAACAAACAACTAACTAAATAAATAAATAAAATAATGTGGTTCATTTTACGTTATGTGAATTTTGAGATTTTTTTATTTTTTATTTTTTATTTTTTTGGTCTTTTTGAGACAGGGTCTCCCTGTAGCTCCAGCTGCCTGGAACTTACTATAGAACAGGCTGGCCTCAAACTCACAGAGGATCTGCCTGCCTCTGCCTCCGGAGTGCTGGGATTACAGGCGTGACCACCATGCCTGGCGCTGAGCGAAATATTTTTTAAAAAGAAAAAAATGAAATTTTGACAAGTGTTATCCAAGAGAGAGCGGAGAAGTCGCTGTGGGAAAGATCTAGAATGTTACACACTAGCTCAGTAGACCCAAGAAGCCCAGTTGAGGTGACAGCCCATGCAAGGAGGTCAAGAATCATCTTGGCTTCCCCTTTCTCAGCCAGGAGAGTGTACCAGGCTCCAAGAAAACAAACCACCTGCTTTTTCTGAAAAGCTACAAGAACAGTCCGGCTCTGGAAGAAAGGTGGGAGGTCACTTTTACCAACTTTAGTCATAGGCAAATTTTTCTCTTACTTGAGATCTGTGGAGGAGGAGAGACCTGTGAGGAACCCCACTGTTTTAATGGATGTGTTTTCATTCCCATTCCTGTTAACTTCTCAGCTCCTTCACCAGAGCCCCTTCCTGCTTCTATTTAAGGAAAGGTGCTGGCCTTTGTGCAACATGAAAGGGCAGGCTCTCTCCCTCTGCCCCACCCACACCCACCCTCACAGTTCCACCCAGGGATCAAACCCCATGCTGAAGTGGTCCAGCTTTTTAGGAGCCTTTGTGCCTGGGCTCTTGTGGAGATCAATGTTCCCAGTTCATTTTAAAGAAATAATAGCGTTCCTATGGAGCACATGTTATTGTGAAAGTGCTATGTACTGGGCACTGGGGAGAGGGAGGAAGTTGGCAGTGCTCCTCCAGCAGGCCGGATGCCTGCTTCCTTCTTTGTATTCTGAGTCCTCTCAGCAACTTTGGGAAGATGGATTTTCCCTTTCTGCCATGAAGGAAGCTGGAGTTTAAGAAAGGCTGTAGATCCAGACTGTAGCAGAGCTGGGGGGAACTGGCCTGGCCCTTCCCCTGCAGAGCTGTGGGTGAGAAGGCTGGATCTTGCCTGGAACCCAGCTGAAAATAACAGACCACCCTGGAGAGCCACAGGGTGAGGTGTGAGAGAGGAAAGGCATCAATTCTGTTAATCAGGCAGCTAGGGGGTGGGTGGGGGTGTTGTAAAGTGGAAAGTGTGGGGTAAGTCATGTGGTGTTGCGGGCCTGTAATCCCAGTACTCTGGAGTTTAAGGCCAGCATGGACTACATGGTGAAGTCTCAAGGCCAACCTCAGCTACATATTGAGTGAGACCCTGTCTCAAAAAAACTGAGGATTGGTCTGTAGCTCACTGGTAGAACACTTGCCTAGCAAGTTCAAGGTCATGGGTTTGACCAGCACCACAAAAAGGAGGGAAAAGAAGAAAAGAAATCCTCATGTTTGAGGTAGAGGCCAAGGGTGCAGGTACTGGAGTCACACTGCCAGATCCGAGGGCACCCAGCCGCCCACGGGCTGTGTGACCTCGGGCTAGCCTCCTCCACCACCTGGCCACCCACAGGCTGTCTGACCTCGGGCTAGCCTCCTTCACCACCTGGCCACCCACAGGCTGTGTGACCTCGGGCTAGCCTCCTCCACCATCCGGCCACCCGAAGGCTATGTGACCTTGGGCTAGCCTCCTCTACCCCAATTTCTTCTGTAAGAGTGAAACCACGGAGGACAAGTCACGGCCTTTGGGTTGCAACAGCAAGAGGTTTATTCAGGACACAGGTACCTGTGGGCACAGAGTCTCCTCGGAGGACTTGCGCGCCCCAGGTTGAGTTCAGGGGGTTTTTATAAGGCAGAAGCAGGGTACAGAAGCAGAAACGCGGTTATTGGTTAATTTCAAACACACATAGTAATTTTACCAGTAATTTCAAAGGTATGCAGAGATATGGGGTAAGGGCAGCCCCCCGGGGGCTGTGTGACCTCGGGCTAGCCTCCTCCACCACCTGGCCACCCACAGGCTGTCTGACCTCGGGCTAGCCTCCTTCACCACCTGGCCACCCACAGGCTGTGTGACCTCGGGCTAGCCTCCTCCACCATCCGGCCACCCGAAGGCTATGTGACCTTGGGCTAGCCTCCTCTACCCCAATTTCTTCAACTTGCTTCCATTTTCTCATCTGTGCCTCTGGGTGAAAAGGAGGTCATGGCAGAGTTTCGGGGATGGCTCAGTGGATAAAGTGCGTGCTGCTTAGGCTTAAGGCCTGGGTTCTACCCCCAGAACCCAGTCAAAAGCCCACCATAGCAGCTTGTGCCTATGATCCCAGTGTGAGGAGCCAGGAGGCCAGCCAGCTTACAGGGAGACCCTGTCTCTAAATAAATAAATAAATAAATAAATAAATAATAAATAAATAAATAAATAAGTGGAGAGTATTTGAGAAAGACACCTGACATTCATCTCCAGCCTACACACACACACATATGTGTGCATCATGCACGCACGCACGCATGCACATGGTCATAGCGAGAGTCAATAGTTAATCCATGTGGGAGTTCTGCATCCAAGAACACTGACAACGGTTCTGTAGCTATGGGCTGCTGCCCTTGAGGGCTGAGGGGAGGCCCCAGTTGGTTTGTACATGAGTTCTGGCTCATTCAGGTTCTGTAGCTGACCACCCACCCCAGCCTGAGAGCATTGCACAACTGAAGACCTGACCTTTGTGTTTGGACAAAGTGATGTTTGCAGAGAGATGGTTTTCTTATCTGAACTGGAGAGTCCCAGGCATTGGAGGGAGTCAGCTGCAATGATCTTCTATAGTTCTAGAGGCCAGATGTCCAAATTAGTCCTCCTGAGCCAAAATCGCCAGGGTCATTGCCTTTCCTTGTCTTCTTAAGCTTCCAGAGGCCATTCCCCGCCCAACACACATACCTGTAGTATAGGCTCTTCCAGTCCCCACCCCCCTTCCATCTATACATGCTCTGTCTGACTCTTCCTGCATCCCTGCGTATAAGGAATGTGTCTGGGTTGAGGCGTGGCTCACCAGTAGAGCTACTCTTTGCCTAGTTTTCAAAAGGCCCTGGGTTTGAGTCCCAGCACTGAAAAAAAGATAATCCAGGGGACCCTCCCCCCCAATCTCAAGAGCCTTACTCATACCTGCCAAGACCCTTTTGCCACTTCACGTAACATAGTTCTGAGAATTGAAACATGGATCTTGGGGAGCTATGGGGCCTGGCACACTCTCCCATGCGCCCCCATCCCCAACACCCTTCTGACAGTTTTCTTTTACCAGATCTCCTCCCTTGAACAGCAGCAAGATGGGGGTCCATGGCTTCTTCACACCTCATTTCTCAAAACTGTGTTTTGACAGTGTTCCAGTTAATGAGCTGTTTTTTCAGACTTTCCCCTGCCTCTAAATTGCAAAGATAAAGTGACTACAGTTTTAAATAAATAAATATAAAATAAATAAATAAATAAATAAAAAACTGAGAAAAACTGGATGTACAAATACCAAAAATGTCAAGTGTCAGACAGGCTGTTTGATTCTGGTGGCATTCTTTACAAAGGATCAGTGACGATGGTTCCATTGCGCCCAGAAACATGGTCTTTGTTGTTTCAAACATGTAAAATTCACTCCCTGACTCTTTTCATTACACACTTTTAAAAAAATTTATTTTTAGCTGGACGTGGTGGTGCACGCCTTTAATCCCAGCACTTGGGAGGCAGAGGCAGGCGGATCTTTGTGAGTTCCAGGCCAGCCTGGTCTACATAGTGAATTCCAGGACAGCTGGGGCTACAGGGAGACCCTTTCTAAAAAAAACAAAGAGACCAAAAAAAAAAAAATTTATTTTTATTGTATATGTATGAGTGTTATGCCATGCTTCTGTGTAAGTACACCAGTGTCATACAATGCCCAAGAAAGTCAGAAGAGAGCGTTGGATCCCCTGGAATTGAGTTAGGGACAGCTGTTAGCTGCCATGTGGGTGCTAGGACTCAAATCCCAGTCCTCTGCAAGAGCAGTCAGTGCTCTTAACTGCTGAGCTATCTCTCCAGCCCCACAAACACATGAACACCACTGTTTCCTTAAATCTGGATGAAGTGGTGTCTAGAGAAGATTTAGATGTACCCGGTTCTCCCACAGCTTGTCACGAACCAGAAAGAGACCAAAGGAAAGATGGTGGCTCTGTCTACAGGTTGGGGATACAGGAGTATGCACGCTCTGTAGTGGGGGGACTCTGGAATTCAGACTATGGGAAGCTCAAGTAGGCAGGAATCAGAAGCAATTCTCCATACACTATTCAGAAACTTTCCTCGCCAGGCATAATGGTTCACACCTATAATCCCAGCTCTGAGGGAGTTGAGGCAGGAGGATCAACATGAGTTGGAGGCCAACCTGGATAACATAGTTCCAGGCCAGCTTAGGTTACAGAGTGAGACCCTTTTACAAACAAACAAACAAAAATTTAAAAATAAAAATCCTGAAAAATTACAGTATATTGAACCAGGCATGGTAATGCACACCTTTAATCTCAGCACTCCAGAGGCAGAGGCAGGTGGATCTCTGTGAGATGGAGGAAGTGTGCACAATACCAGTGGAAGCCAGAAGAGGGCATCAGAGTTCCTGGAACTGGAGTTACAGATAGTTGTTAGCTGCCATGTGGGTGCTGGGAACCCAACCTGGGTCTTCTATAAGAGCAGCCAGTGCTCTCAGCTGCTGAGCCATCTCTCCAGTCCCAAATCACTGTTCTTTTGGTGGCTGCCATTGTGAATGCTTACACTGCCTGCAGCCCATGCTATGCACTGCCTCAAGGACTTCCTTTGAATGAACTCAATCCTCTTAACACAATGTGAGGGCTACTTTATTTTCCCATTGTACAGGTGAGGAAACTGAGGCCAAGGAAGTCAAGGAAGGGAAGAGACTAGAACTCACTCCTTGCTGTGAGCAGTTAACTACAAGGTCACTTACAGACCACCTTCATTAGACAGGAAAGTGTAACATGGAGAGAAGGGCATGGGCTCTGAAGTGAGAATTCTTTGAGCTGGAATTCAGCTCTGCACCTTTCCCGCTGTATGTGTAACACCTCTGTGCTTTCTTCTTGCTGAAGCCCAAGAGCCAGCGCCACAAAAGACACAACAGTAACCCAAGTTAGATCCACTTGCTTCACACAAGGAGAGATTCCTCCTTGAATTTCTGAATTCTGAGATGAATTTCTGAATCTGAGCTGAAGCATTATCAGCATCCAGTAAACAAAGTCCAGGGAAATATCTGAGCAACCTAAGCAGTTCTAGGTGGAAAGAGGGAGAGGACCCAGAACTGAGGATCAAAGACCTCAACCGTTCAAGCTCTGCTAGAAGACGATCCATAGAGAGCGTGAAGGAGGAATGTGCTGTGAAGACGATCCGAGAGCCACGAGAAGATAGGCCAAGGGAGCCTTTCACAAAGTGTGCCCAAAGCCACTAAGGGGTCAGAGAGGGAGAAGACAGAATGTCCATGGATGAGGCAACATGGAGGTCATGGGTGTCCAATGACCAGCCAGTCCTCGGGTGGGTGTGGGCAAGAGGCAGCATGAGAGGGAAGAAACTTGGAGTAGAGACAGCATCGGGGGCTTTTTTACTCAGAGAGCAGAGATATGGGGCAGGAGGTGGAATTACGTCATGGGTGTCCAATGACCAGCCAGTCCTCGGGTGGGTGTGGGCAAGAGGCAGCATGAGAGGGAAGAAACTTGGAGTAGAGACAGCATCCGGGGGCTTTTTTACTCAGAGAGCAGAGATATGGGGCAGGAGGTGGAATTATGGTGTCACCTGGCAAAGGATAAGCTAAGAGAAATGGCCTGACAGAGAAGGACAGGGGTGCTGCTGGGGACAGCAAACCAAGGCAGGATGGGAGAGAACCAAGAACAAGTGTGGGCATGGCCTGAGGAAAGGAACCCATTCCCCACTGTTAGACAGGCAAAGTGGGAGAAACCAGAAGGGGGCAGGGTGAACATGTTCTCAGGGTACAAGTGATTCAGGCAGTGAAGGACATGGGCATAGAGATGGTTGCGATGGGGAGGTTTGAAAGGGAAATGCATGTGGTTGTATCTGGGAGAGAGGAAAGTTCCGCCCACTGGACAGGTCGGGTGGGTTTGCCAGGCAGCACTGGGTGTTATGGAGAGCCTTGTGATTGGAGTTGGAGATCTTCAGTGAGATCAGGCTGTGTTGTTTGTAGTGGTTGTGATCAGAAAAATCATAGGGCTGAGAGATATGGTAAGGTCCTGGTCAGCCACATGGACATCAAAGTCACCTAGAATGGCAACAGAATTTTAAGATGGGGAGAAGGCCAGGGGACACGGTACAGTAAATGTTAGCCATTGGTGGTCTTGATGTTTTCATGAAATTCCATCTGCGTCCCTGAGATGCCCCCTGTCTGGCACCCACCCTTACCAAGGGGGAGGAAGAAGACAGTTAAAAAATTAAAAATAAAAAAATTTTTAAAAGCTGGGCATGGTGGCACACGCCTTTAATCCCAGCACTTGGGAGGCAGAGGCAGGCGGATCTCTGTGAGTTCAAGGCCAGCCTGGTCTACATAGTGAGTTCCAGGACAGCTGGGGCTACAGGGAGACCCTGTCTCAAAAAGACAAAAAAAAAAAAGCTTTGCCTTGTCCTTACCCTCAACAAGTGTAAGACTGTTCTGGAAACACAAGATATATTTGCATGCAGCACTAGGAGAGTCAACTAGAGAACTCCCCAGTTACCAGTGTGTAGGTCAGACCAGGGTAGGCACTAGATGACATAGAGGACAGACAGGCTGGGCTGGGTGATGAGATACCTGAAGGAGAATTTGGTCCAGTCTTTAGATGACACTGACTCACAGCTGGAACAGGGAAGCAAGGCGAGTTTCAGTTTAAAAAAACAAAAGTGGCTTAGTCTCAGAATTGGCAACCTTGGTGCCGTTTCTAAAAAGGCCTTCAAATTATCTGGAAATGTGCTGTGCTTGCACACACTCAGCAAGGAGATGCCAGCTATGAGCCCCAGATGTGGAGACAGACACCGGGCCTCGCTAGTCTGCCCTGGGAGGATGAGGGTAGACCATTCTCTGTGTATGAGTCATGGACCGATCAACAGGTTGCCCTGCCTAACTCTCTGCCTTTCTCTTCTCTTCCTAAAAACAGAACGTTGGGAAGGTCATCACCAAAGGATGTCGCTACATCGTTATTGGCCTGCAGGGGTTTGCTGCGGCCTACTCCGCCCCATTTGGAGTGGCCACCAGCGTGGTGTCCTTTGTGCGCTAAACAGGAGCTGCTGGGGCAGGCGTCACCCAAGTGCAAGCTTCTGCCCTGGAGGCTCTGAATCCACTATTTCAGACTATTTCAGACTTGGACTCACAGAGAACTTCGAAGAGGAAACGTGTTTTGTTGTTGAATTGGTTGAGTGTTAGGCAGGAGCTGCCCCCACCCATCTACTGAGCTCTCCACTTCTCTTGGACATGGGTGGATCCAATGAGACATGGGTCAATCCTGCAGAGAACCCGGCCAAGATTAGGGTTAGGGCTAGTTTGTTTCCCATGCTGATTAGGGCCTTCATGTGGTAATGGAAGCAATTCCACGGCAGGTTGGAGCAGTGAGCAGGTGATTTTGAGGAGGGAAGGAAATGCCAACCTGGAGATGGACAGTTGCTAAGTTCTCCTGGAAAGGTTGTGGGAGCTGCTTGTTTCTGAAGTCTATCTCTCTTTCCTATCTCCTTCACCACACTGACACTGGGAGTTTAATTACAGGTTTGGGAAGAAAGAAGGAAGGAAACTCCCTTTGAAGGCATGATGCTTTGAAAACCATGTTCACATGTAGATCAAAGCATGTCATTTTCACAGATCTATACATAAATATGCAGCTGGCAATAAAGGAAGGAGGAAGGGCAAGTTCTGAAGGAGGCTGGGTGACGGGTGCTTTCCAGGGCTGGACCCGGTCCAGCGTGGTCTGGCCTAGTTGTTGTGTTTAGGGATGGCAGGGCTCCTGCAAATGTGGCTGGCCACAGTACTCCAAATTCACTGCTAACAGTCACCCAACTCCTCCTTGATTCAATGGAGAGAGACAGAGATAGAGATGGGGGGGGGGGGCAGCCTGGAAATGAATGTGTGGATTTAGAAAAGGAACCAGTAAGTAGGAGCCAGAGGGACATGAAGAAGGACATTGGAAGAGCAATGAAAGTCCAGAACTAGGGCTGGCTGCTTGTGGTAGGGACACTCTGGAGGGTTAGACCTTTGGCTGTGTGTAGGGGCAGAGAAGGTTGACAGGCTGAATCTTACTTGGATTCAAAGATCAGTGTAGGTATGGGTCCTGGGCTTGACACCCATCAAGGATGGCTCACAGACTGCCATTGGACACTAGTGAAGGAAAGAAGGCCTTCAAAGGCTAGGATGCTTTGAGAACTGTGCCAACCTATATCACAACTGTTTTTAAAGTAGTTCACAGAGAGGTAAAAGATGGAGGTCCCTCTCACCATGGCCCTTGGCCAACCCCCACAGCAGGCCATTGTTCTCACTTTCCTTCTAGAAAGTCCAGGGTCCAGAGCAGTTGTTCAGACCCCCTACAGGCTCAACAGTGGTAGCAGTCTGCTGCCCCAGGAGGCCTGTTGCCCCAGGAAGGGTACACACAAAAAGCCACAACGCACATGCCTTACCCATTAGGCCCAACCAGCAGGCGCTGGTAGATGGAGACGGTAGAAAGACAGACAGATGGACAGAAGACGGATGGGTGGAGGGGATAGTGGCAGCCTCCCAGTTCGATTCAGCCTCCTCTCTGTTGAAAGATGATGCCAAGTCCTTGGGCTGGGTATTTGTGAGATCAAACAAATGGTCTTGTTTTAGCCCCAGTGGCCCAGGCTGACTATGCACAGGTTCACCCTTATGAGAGAACGACAGCTTACACAACAGCCCTGGAAACAGAGAGGTAGACGTAAACAGGAGAGAAAGCCACGTGGAGTTAGCAGGAAAGAGTCAGGCCCCTGAGGACTGCTAGTCACTGGAAGTGAAGCAAACTTGCAGAGATCCTCCCTAGTCACCGCTGATGCTACTGAGCTCTGGAGAGCCCACAAAGTTCTGCTGGGGAGTGGAAGTGTGACCTAGGGAAGGGATGAAGCTTCAGGGGTTCCCTTGCCTGGGTGTCTCCAAAGAATTTCCTCCCACCTCCCAAATTGGAAAATCCACAAATCGGTGCACATCTGGCTCTGTACCTCTCAAAGTCTCAAATTTCTACGAATTAACTCGGAAATGTCCAAAATCAAAAGCTCACAGGGGCTGTCCTGGGAGTCAGGGCCGGATTCATTGTAGGACTTCAGCCCCTCATGCAGCCTTTGTGATCACATTCCCTGTATGGGGCTCTGGGTTCCTCATGCCCAGTTCCTCCAGCTTGAGAGCTTGCTTCCTGCTCCAGAATACTTTTCTACCTTGGAATTGAGCTTCCCTGTTAATGGCTTGACCAGAAGGCTTCTTTTGTATCCCTATCCTCCCCACCACCACCGCCCCCGCCACTGTGAATAAAGGCACCAGCTTGTCTGGTTTTTCTATGTGTGAAGGACCTCCCTTACTTGCTTTCTGGCCTGAGGGAGAAGGCTCAGGCTCCTGCTGGACCTGGGAATGCAGTGTAGCAGGTGATGGCCCCTGGGAAGATGTTCTGAGGGAACTCAGTATGAACCCACAGCCACTCTGAGGCCAGCCCACACCTGCAGTGTTAAAGGCTACATTCTCTAGAATCCCTCAGAACAGGCTTTGGAGTGGGGAAGGCTCAGCCCCCACATCTGTTACAAATGGAAATTTCCAGAGCCTTTGACTAAGATTTAGTGGAGCCAGGAAGCTGCATTCCCCACACTGAGTCTTGGCTGAAAAATTGTCAATGTGACTCCCAGATGGGAGGTTGGACCAACAGAGGGGCCTGCTGGGTGTCAGTCCATGTGGCATGCTGTCACCTGAGCCAGCTTACTGAATCCTTACAGAAGTGATGGCAAAGGTTGGGGAGACGAGGACAAGTGGTCCTTGGATTATCTGTCTGGGCAGGTTGGGGGATGTAGAGTAGTGATAGAGATCTTGCATAGCATAGGAGAGTCCCCAGGTTCAATCCCAGGGGGTCGGGGGTAGCGGGGGGATGAGGTAGATCATTATTCTCACCTCATCCGGGGAGAAGAAGAACTACGATTCTAACTGGGCAGGGCAGCACATACCTGTAATCCCAGCACTGGGGTGGATGAGGCAGGAGGATCATGAATTCCAGGCAGCTTGTACTACATACTCAGTTCTAGACTAACCTAAGCTACAGAGGGAGGCTTTGCTGAGAGAGGAGAGAGAGAGAGAGAGAGAGAGAGAGAGAGAGAGAGAGAGAGAGAGAGAGAGAGCGAGTTATTTCAATCCACCGCGATCAACGAGCCCACACACAAAGACAACAGC